ATTGTGATTAAAAATCGTATCAAAACCATATAGTCTCAATTTCTTTTTAAAAAATGGTTTAATGTAGAAAGAAACTATACTATAACTCATCCTTTGAATGTTGAAAGGAAGAAGCTTTTTTGTTGACGGTAATAAAAATATGACAACGTACCATACTCAGTTATACTGGCTAGTCAGTAGGCCGTTGTAAACTGAAAGCCTGCTAAGCTTTTGGTATGAATACAAAATGATGCTTGTAGCCGCAAGTTATGTCTCTCCTCCTTTCGATATAAATGTCGCCATCGTCGACATCATCGTCAGTCTTATAAGTACGAGTACCAACAAGGACGGAACTTGTATTTCATATTTTGTGGCTATTTTAGGAAAATAATGAGCCGGATTTACGCCATGTTTGTCATATTTCAATTTGTCTCCACACTGTTCAAAGTGTTTGATATCTTTTTTTTAATAAAATCTGAAATTTAAAATTACCATATTTCATATAATTTAAATTTTGAATAAAAAAATATAGCATCGAAACGAGATTACAATTTTGGATAAAATAAATTTTTAAATTAAATTGTAAACAACAAGAAAATATGAATTTCGACTTTAAAATTTGAGATGAAAATAATTAATTAATTAACAACTAAATTTTCTGCTGTTTTAAAATTATAATTTTTTGAGAATTATTTAAGAGGATACAAAGAATTTTTATTTGAAGAAAGTAACAGTAAACTTATTATGCAATAATAATAAAAAATGAGATGAAAGTAAAGAGCAAACTTTTTAAAAGCTTTCGAATAGCATAAAAAAGACAAGAACTAAAACTTAGTTTATTTATTGAAACTTGGTTAACAACGCCGAATTTCAATAAATTAACTAAATTTTTGTTCTTATATTTTTTTTACTATTCGAATCCTTCTTACTCTTAAAAATAGCTTCTTTGTCGTCGTAAGAAGCGTAGCTTTCGGAAAAAATTATTAACTTTGAGAAAATATTTTATTTAAAGCTTAGTTTTAATTAAATATGTATTATTTATATAAGTAATTTTCTACCTTACATGAAATAAGTAATAATTTATGTTTAATGAAGTTATAGAAATGTTTCATTACTCAAAAACAAAAAGGAGTCATGGAATGGGATGGTGCATTTTAAATATTGATCGAGATAAATATGGTCCATCTGGATCTGCCCAGAAAAAAAACTTAATATTCCCACAATAATTGATACAAAGAATTTAAATCACACACTAATAATTTTATAATCCATTAAACATCTTTTAATTATACATATCTCTAATATGTTTTCGTACAAAATGGATTCAGAAATTATTAAGTTTTCAACTAAATTTTTCTGAATATTTTACAGTTTCAGAAAATTATATTCTTTTCAAAATAGTGGTATTTTCTTTTTCAGTATTTTTATGCACCTTTTCTCGTACACACTTTTTAGATAAAAAATCCAAATATATCACACACCGATTTCACTAATCTGCCTCTTAAATGAACCACAGTCTGTTTCACAGTTTTTTTTTTTGAGACAAATCCACCAAAAAACTGAGAGTCTATAACAGCATATAGATACAAATGTAAACGTCGCTTAAATGAATAGTGTCTTCTACTATTATTAATGATTACTATAACCTTCTTTAAATATAATATACCAAAATAATTTGACATATTATTATTAGAAAAGATAATGAAGAAAATCTTTTAAGCTATTCTAGGCAAATTAGGACAATTGATAAATCTAATAATATCTCTGGATTCTAAATTCCAGATCACAATCGAAGTAATGCAAGCTAATTGAATATATTGAATATGTTTCGTGCCAAACCTATTAAACCTAATACTTTGGTATTTATGTTTGTATTAAAAGTTGGTAGTTTACAGAAACATATTTAGTTAAGATATCATTGATTAATCAGAATTCAGATCTATTTAATCTGAAGAAGCTATAAACGATTTTGTTTTTAGTCCTAATAAGATATTTTCTGAATACAGATGCCGACTGATTTTTGAGCTTTTTTGGAATTTTTAATTACTAACGCAGTCAGATAAATGAATATTCTGCAAAAATGTAGGTCCTATGAAAGGAGTTAAAGTACACATGTTCCCAAGTTTATGAATTGCTTCGTTAATGTCAAATCCCTCAAGTACCTCAAAAGTGAATTTCTCATAAATTATTACTTTGTATCTACTACTAAAATTGAAGATTTTTGTAACTTCAAACTAACTTAAATATAATCGAACAACATTGGAAACATTTTGTAGCTGTCTCACAACATAGTCTATTCATAAATCAATATTTATGTTGCATTAAAAACTGCAATAGAATATTCGAAGGATTATAATATTTAAAGAAATAAAATACTATAACATATATAAAAATATTTACGTATGTTAAGGATAAAATTATCATCACCTACTTTAAAAAAAGTAAAAACAACTTTTATGAGCTGATTAAGATAGATTTAATTTGACACGAGGGTTAAATTAAGATTCTTAGGTCAAATAATGTATTCTTGCAAAGAATTTAGGTGTTTTCGTTGCTTTAACCAATTTTCACAGCATATTTAATCCTCTTTCTAAATACAGTCAAACCACTCTACGGTGAATCTTCCTAGAACAAATTTCTCTCTATAACGAACTTTTGTTGAAGACACAACGATTTTTAATTTTTTTCATATATTTGAAGCTCTCTATAGCGAACCTCTCTATAGCGAATTCCTCTCTACAACGAAGTTTTTTCAGGTATGCAAACAAATTTTCGCGTACAGCAGGCATTAGAGATTTCATTATAAAGAAGTTTGACTGTATATCTAATTATTAAAATTTATGCTTATTTGATTTAAACTGTAAGGAATTAGTATAAATTAAGCCAACTCTAGTTTGCTTCTACACTTACATAGCCTAGCCTCCATACATTTAATTTTTATACTAAATATTTACCGTCAACTTAATGTTTATAGAGATATGTTAAAGGATCCAAAGACAAGAACTTATGTATCGATTTGATACTTTATCTATATCTAAACTAAGTAATTAAGCAATTAAGTTCACACTGAAAGATATATACAACATTTTAATTTACTAAGTAAATTTTTCTTCTTCTTTATTAGCATAACAGTCCTGGATGAACCATTGCTTCCTCAACCAATTTTTGCCATCTAACGCGATTCAATGCCAATTTTTTCCAATCGCTCACGCGTAGCTTTTTTAAATCTTCTTTAGTACTAAGATACCTTATCAAACATGATTTTTAAAAACTATAGTATGAAAGATCATATAACAATACATTCTGTTTAATGATATTCTTCTTAACGTATGCCATTATTATTCAAGTAGTAGAACGAAATCAAACTCAAATAATTTTCTACTGAGCTCATGATAATTTCATATTCATACTATACCCATTACTACCTACTAACTTTTTTTTGTTGACTTTAATTTAAATTCTAATTTAAAATGCCGTATACAAATTGTTACTTATTGCATTTTTATTGCATTAATAAATTTCCATCACGAAATTACATATTTATGCAAAATTTAATTAATTTAAATTAAGTTTTTCTACGCAATAATTTACAATCTTATTATCTAACTTATAAATGCTGCACTCATTGCAAATTGCATATATTAATTAATTAATTTAAAATAATTAATTCGCACATCATCGAGTTAAGCCGTAATGAAAGTCTAATTTTTTAATGTATTTCTTTTTATTTAATGAACTAAACTGGATTCCAATGCAATTTATTTTAAATAAATATAGTTCGCAATAATATATTTATTACACTATGCGAGACTAAATTCTTTTTATTTTTTACTTTTCAATGTCGTTATGTTGATTAGGAGTCACTTATCTCAAATCTATAACCCGTTTTTCTACTAGACATCTTGATTACTGAGAATAACGGATTAAATAAAGTCAAAAATTCATACTTAAACTTTTCGCCTGAGAAATCCTGAGACATTAGATGATTAAAGAAACAAATCTTTAAAAATATCATATTAATCTCAATATTCTAATAATACCATATTTTAACCTGTTTAGTACCCTTTAAAATTGCGGTATTCTATGTCAGTTATCTTAAAAATTCCAATTGTTCCAAATCGACATATTTTTTAACACTAGTTTTTACTTTAAAATACTTTCTGCATTGGAATCTTGCACATCTTACTGTTTTATTATCCATCTTCAGTAGAAGAGAGCAAATGTGTTTAGGTTGTCTAACAGGTCATAATAACCTGCGTTATCATCTTAGCATGAGTTACAGTGTGAAGGAACCGAATGCTAATATTGCTTGGAGATGAATTAGATCTTAACTCACATTCTCTATGACTGTCCGGTTTTAATCTTAACCAAGAGCTGATTGTTGAACCGGATGAACCAACTTCATCTGGTATTAGAATCTTCCCAGTTGACAGTCTAGTTTTCGTTCAAAGGGTGTTCGTTTATCTTGCACCTCTATTTTACTATTTTGTTGTGCCTCTTCAGTAGAACAGAGCTGATATATTTAGGTTATTTGACAAGTCATAATGACCTGTATTATCATCTTAAGCAAATGAGCCACTATGTAAAGAAACCGAATGTTGACTTTGCTTGGAGGTGAATTAGATCTCAATTCACATTCTCACAAGAGGAGATTGTTGCATCGGGAGAAACAATCTCATCTGGTTCTAAAATCTTCCCAACTGTTGACATTCTAGTTTTTGTTTAAAGGGCGTAATGTTTCCATTAAAAATTAAAAGATCAGCCATGGTCACAGTACCATGATCTGCTGCAAGTCAGTAATGCTCCCTTTTTCTTTTGCTTTCTATTTTACTCTAGTGAACAGTTTTGTTATAAAAAACCTCTTCAATTACAGGCTACTTTTGCTTTTTTCTAGATAAGTTCAATATATGAAAACAATTATATGGATTTGTATTTATTTACTTTATTACTGCCATAAGGTGCCAAAAAAATAAACCATTAAAACTTTATAACTTAAATTTATATATATATATATATGCAGCATTCATAAAACTTTCTTTAATTTTGATTATTTTATTTTCGATTAGTGTATAGAAAAAAATTCAAATATACTACAAAGATTTTCCAAATCCAACTCTTTGGTTTCATTGATTATAAATGACTTGCGGTAAGGGGATTTAGTTAACTACTTCAGGGTTGCAAATTGAATTATTTATCTCAACACCGAAAAAAACAACATTAATAAAATGTACAAATAAATACTTACATACAATTTGTTTGTTATTCCTTTTCCGTCATTGATCTGTTGTTATCTAAACTAACCTAAAAAAAAAATATATATATAATTTTATTAATTAAAATAGAAAAATTACCACTTTCGATATCTTCGATGGTGAACGAATTTGCTTGCTATTTGCTTGGGTTAACTTTGACATCGACTTTGGCGTAGTTACGCTGTTTACTTTGAGTTCGATTGGTTTCTGAGTCCCTTGCATCTGTATACCTGAGACACTTAAGCAATAATTCGGTTGAAAATCCTTTCTTGGAGCGTAACGCACTTTAAAAGCTAATTCAAATAAACCTGGTACTACTGATGGATCTTTCGGTAAGTCCACAACAACCTTGACCATATCTTTTAACATCATTGGGCAGATGGTTGCAGTTACTTTAGTCGACCTTGATAAATCTGGAGTTGCATTAATTTCTATTAATATGGGATTAAATTCCTCATCTAACATGAAATCACAACCGAACAGTTCGAAAGCGTTTTCAACGAACGTTGTATCTTCAAGACTAGCCATCACCACTGCTATTAAATTTGCTGCAAACCCTGGATATATTTTCGTATTCCAAATTTCTTCGGTTTCTGGTAGATCGCTCAAATATTTCTTAAACTCTGCTAATGACCACATATTATTCCCAGGCAATCGTTTATCTCTGTGTTCGGGATTTTTATACCTCTTTTGTATAGAGTTATTAGTTAAATGTATTACTTCTCTGAGATCACTCATATCAAACTGCTGAGAGCTAAATCTCAAATAACAATCTTTATACAACCATATTGATAGATTTTTTTGGTTAACTGAGAGCAGCATATACATTCTTATATCAAATTTTGTTTTATATATTATCAACGGCCGTTCTGTATTAATATACAACAAAAATAATATTTTTAAAAAATTAATATGTATAGTCAAATTGAAATTACCTATGTATTTTTGCACAATATATCTCCTATTACTATTGATACTTGCAAATTCCAGAATTTCATCTAAATCGTTTCTTACAATAATGCCAAAGCCACAACCCCTAAATCCTGGTTTTAGTATCCAAAGATTTCTGCACCCATCCCAATGAAAATCTGGATGTTTGTTAAATATTTTCTGCAGATACAATTTACCACTTTTGATACTTTCCGAAAATTCAACACGATTCATTTTTAATTTCGATCTGTTAAAAATAATGTTGTTTGAACTTTTTAAAAAATCTTGCCATATATGAAAATTTTTATCGTTTTCAGGATTCCAAGATTCATCATCGAGATCCGTGTGTGAAAATTCATTGAGTTGTTTCACTACATTTTTTATTGCGAAATTCACTGTATCTGCTGGTTCTGTTCCATGTTCTTCGTCAATAAGTAAATCAATATAATAAAAGTTATTCCACAGAAAACGTACAAAGTTACGACATTGTGTTTGACAAAAGTCATCAATAAAAGCTAAACGTTCCGCTGAGGTTCCACCAAGGCGATAAAATCTTGGATATTTCATACCACATATGTTTTCTTTTCGATACCAAGATGCCTGTTCGGAACAACCAATTAAACCAATTTTTGTAGAAAAATCTAATGTACGCCCACGGCGTATTCTGTTACGATAAGGTAATTCTTCTGCGTAGGAATCTTTCATTGCTTTAGGTTGCCATATAAAGAACGGTGGATAACGACTAACCAAGTTCGACATTACAGCCTGTTCAAATTCATTTCCAGGGCGCACGTATCTTATTAATGTTTCATTTGGAAGAGCTTGCAAGTTGGCATATCGATTTCGTGATAGTTTCTCTACCCAACGACGTTTTAGTAAGGAGTGACGTAAAGTGTAGAAATTTCCATATACTATAAAAAGGCGTCGCTTTTGAAAAGCTTCATGAGCTTGTTTACTATAGAAACTTAAAAGCATTCGCACCTCAATTTTTGCGGTCTTATCAATGGGTACATCAATATTTATGGGGAGTGGGCATTCCTGATCATTAACATTTTTTCTATCTTTATTTTCGTGCGTTTGTGCACTGATTCCTAATAGGGCCGTATTAATTGGATATTTCGGTACAAGATCATGTATTTCGCCGTCCAAGTAGTGGATAATTTCTTGAATTTTTCCAATATGATTGTAGTTTTTGTCGTTTTTTGAGTTTCGAGTTGATGATTTTCCTTCCATTACAAACAAAAAATTTTGAAACCGGTTTTTTAATTTTTAACAACTATTTGCAGAAAAATATAGAACAGATAATTTTGATATACATATATTAATACGTATACTTAGATTTAACAAACTTAAGCTCTTCCTCTTTTATATATTTTTACTAAATCTAAAAAAGGTGGAAAACATTAATTTTATTAAACATAACATGCATAGCATGCTTTAGAAATGTATATGTATGTGTATTCTATTTTAGTCCATACATATCGGTCTTAAAATTGATTTTGACTATATAAGAAAACAAAATTCAAATATTTTATTTACTTCAAAGCTCAACAAAATAACTACAACTTTAAAAGTCATGGTATTTTTGGAAATAAAAAAAATACGTACTTGATTTATAATAAATTAACTTTATTAATTCAGCACATTGCCGAGTTTTGTCCTGACGCAGTATGTCTCCACAGGCTCCTCTGCTGAGTGCATGCCTTCTTCAATCTCGTACATCAAGTCCAGTTAGTGCTCGCTCAACTTGATCACTACAACGGAGACACGATGTACCTCTACATGTCTTCTTCCACCAACAACTCCTTCAAACACCTTTTTCGCTGGAGCATCTTCAACCATTCGTCGAATTATATCAATGTCATGATAAACCTTGTACAGCTCGTGGTTCATTCGTATGCGGTAGTCGTCGCCAACTCGTAGAGGACCAAAGACCTAACAAAGAACTTTTCTCTCGAACACTTCTAGCGCTGCTTCATCATTCTTCTACGTCCATGCTTCTGCGCCATACAAAAGCAGGATAAGCGACCTATAGAGCGTAAGTTTCGTTTGTCGAGAGAGAGCTCTACATGTCAATTGTCTACTGAGCCCATAGTAGCACTAATTAGCAATGGTGACTCTTCACCTTATCTCCAGGCTGACATCATTTATGGTCGTTACGGCGGTGCAAGGTAGATTAAATCCTAGACAGATTCGTAAGTATAGTCGCCAATCACTAGCTCGACGTACGAGTGGCGCACATTTCTACCAGTAACCGACATATGCTTCGTTTTGCCCTCATTCACCGTTAAGCCTATTCTTGCAGATTCCTTTTCAATAGCAGCAAAAGCAGCTGTAACATTACGCTAGCTACGCCCAATGATGTCAATGTTGTCGGCGTAAGCATGGAAATTGAAAAGATCACATGATAAGGGTTCACTTTGTCTGAAGCCTCGAGCAGTATCAAAAGGTTTAGAGACACTCGATCCTACCTTGGCGGACCTCCCCTTATGGAGCTGATGATAAATACTTGGCAATACTCGAAACAGCGTTGTATGGTCCACCAAATTTTAATAAATTATTTTTGTATTTGTCCTTTCTTTCTTTGCTATTCGAAACTCTCTAAATTTTAAAAAATATCTTTATCGGCAGAGCTAAATAAACTTTATATATTTTTTGTATAAAAAAGTTATGCATTGTTGGTGTTTGTCAGTCCATTCACAACCAAATAACTCTACTTCTTCCTTGGTTCCCTTTTTACGCATGAACTAGAAGCTAACATATGTGTGCATTTGCTCTGATATTAGAGCTTTTTCTATAGGGTTTTATGCAAGCAAAATATGTTATGTTCGCTATTAGTATCATTGTTGACTCCACTAACAAAATATTAGTGATCATACATAAGTTCGACAGTTTTTATGTTTGAACAGACATGTTTTTCCCATTGCGTGTACCTTTTTAGAATTCATCATATTTCTAAAAAAGGCAAATTACATGTTCTTATATTTCCATGTTTTACTCGGACTGTCCACTTGGGTAAAAATTCTAAATTTTTAAGAGTGGCTTGCGACATCTTTTAGCATTTATTATTTTTGCTTCTGTCAATGGATACGACAAAATTTTAAAATTACTTAAATAATTTACTAAGTAAGCAGTGGAAACATGGTATTAGCATTGAAAACCCTATGTTCTGTAATTGCAGAACAGCATTTGTCAGCGCAAAACTACATAAATTATAATTTTGTGGTAAGAATTTTTAATGCATAACTTTTTTATATATAAAATATACATAATTCTATAAAAAAAAATTTTTACAACTTCATTTATTTATACATATATCATTTGTTGTTTTTCTTATTAAAGTATTTTTAAAATAAATATTAGTATTATCTTATTGATATCATTACCGTGGAATGTTTTAGATTGTACCTTACCGTATCTATTTGAATCCATTTGTTTTTTGATTTCTCAGTAGGTGGAAAGCTCAAAGCCACAGTGTGAGATTTGAACCCACTACAAGCACCTCCTAGGAATACGAAATAGACAAATTTCAGCTATTAGATCATTAAGATTAAAAGCTGAAATCCAATTCCAGTTCTCAAGGGAAAATAGACATTGGAGTACAGAAAGCTTAGTTTTTAAACAACAAATATATCTAATTCAAATTTGTTAATAAGTGAAGGGAGAAAGGGAGGATATTATTGATAGGTAGTAATTACTGACTAAGAGTAAACTCTGTGCAAAGGGTTGTTGTAACCACAATTGCAGAGCGCGTTTACAAGAAAAATACGGAATATGTAGACGCACTTTTGCATACTTTTTCAACTATTTTGAGTAAAAATATACGACTCTAATGCTAAAAAAGAAGAAGTCACGCAGAGACATGCAAATAGATTAGCAACTTTATTTCTAAACTTATATAGATATGTAATAAATAAAAATATTACTCAAGCCAATATTACTTAAAAATATATACATATATAGGTTTTTCTCACATGACAGGAAACTCCTACAACATTTTTATTAAATAAATTAAAAATTATTTTTAGATTTTATTTTAAAAACACTTTAATAATAAAAACAGTAAAAGATAAATAAATAAATGAAGTTGTAAAAATAGTTTTATTGCTTTATAAGTTGGAGAAAAAACAAAAATTACAGACAAAATAAATTATTTTTAATAATAAAAAAATTTAGAAAAAACTTTAATTACAAATATTACAATTGAATAATATTGTCAGTATATCTTTATAAAAATAAAAAAATATGATTTATTCAATCACGCTTTATCAATTTAAAATGTACTAAAGGTATTGACAAGAATTACAGTGTAAATGCAAACATTTTGAAGATCTTCATACAAAAGTTACTAAACCAAAGAACATTTTATACTTCATTGTACTCAGTTATTATCAGTTATAAATAAGAATAGAAATCGTGTTGTCAAATTGTTCAGGTGAAGTTATAAGCAATATTTCTATTGAAAATGACACCTAAGAAAGTGGAAAAAAAGTAAGTAAAAACCAGTGTCAACTACATAAAAGCTTTTTATGTTATGTTTTATACATATTAATATATACTTTTTTCCCATTAAATACAATTATTGAATTTTATATATCAGAGATCTAAAGGATTAACGTTATATAATATTCACGATAGTCTGGATGAATTGCTACCTGTTCTTGATGCTGTGTTTGCGAACCCGCATCAAAATTATACTTATATGAAATACTTTTTACTATTAAATCGAGAATTAGGGTTTATTACGCTTGATATCCTGCAAGACATTTATTATGACGGGAGTTCTTTACATGTTCGTACTAACAAATTTTCTCTATTAAAAACATATATTCACTTTAAACACTTCAGTTTCCCGGTCCAATATGTGAAATATAAGATGAATGGATCTTACGCCTATTTATGAAGAAATTCAACCTTTCACGCGACGAGGCTATAGCACATCTAAAAGCGCAAGCAGATGATGATTGAATTATAGGTATAAAGTTTTTTGTTATGGATTAAAGTTTTTCTAAAGGCGAATCGAAAAAAACTATTACCAATATTATTAATATTACTACATAAAAGTACTAAAAAAAAGATGATTAAAATATGTTAAAATGTAAATTTTTATTTTCATATTGCATATGAAATATATAATTTTAGCTTTTGCGAAATTGTTATCAATGAAACTTTTTTTATTGTGATTTAAACAGGTTTTATTATCAACACTTTTACTTTCAATCGTTTATTCAATAGCTATTGAATATATGTAATTAAATGACTAATTTTTGTAAATGCTTAAAGCTTAGGAGTTATTATACATTTGCATTGTTGTTGGCAACAAAAGACTTTACCCTCTTATTTAGAGACTAAGCCACATACAGAGTTGTCACCACTGACTTATATTTGCAGCGAAAGATCTTAGTTATAAATTGTTTAACTCAATTTATTTCAAATAATTTCGTAATCAATATTTTTGGGTTTATTTTGCTTTCTTTTTTATTTGTGAGATCCACTTGAAATCAATTTTTTTATATCTCGATTAAAAAATTTTAAAAATTCATGTCCGGTACCGATTAACAAATGTTAATGGATTTTTTAATAATTCCTTTAGTAGTTCTCCAGATGCTCCAGATGCTCTGATATGATACTGCAATTGAATTCACAAAAGCTTAGTTTGTCTTGAAATATTTAGTACAGTGTAATTTGTTAATTCTTCCATACTGCCGGTTTAAGTTCTTATACATTCCAATTAGCGCATTAATTATATTTTATAAACTAACATTTAAATAATAGCTTAAAAATTATATTCCATACCAAGTACGGACAACCTACAATAAATTTCTCTTTAAATATCTTTGTTCACATTAAAAATAGTTAAGAGAATACCATATAGTCTTATGCAAACTGCTTAGTTGATTTTAAAAGGACTATACCTTTACCCCTAAAGTATTCGTTATCGTCATTATCGTCACTAAGAAACGAATGCCATTATTTTATCGAATTTCACTGCTGTGCCAAACTTGACAATATATAAACCCCATGTGACATAAAAATAAAATATCTAGGTGTGATACTTTATTATAATATATTTATATTTACAGATTTTATATATTCTCTTAAACCTTAGTATGAACTTTAAAGGTAATAAAATGAACACACTACTTATATTTTCGATCATGTTCCCTGTCCTGTCATATGGAATATTATATGGAAAGATAAAAAAAGGCACAGAACCACAGAGCTGCCCTTTTATAAGTAATGCAAACAGACATAAAAGATCAACAGATAACTTCGAGATGTGATATAGGAATTTAGAATTTAATCAAATCAAATCGATTTCGGTTATTGAAAACTTATTTATTGTAATGATAACTGCTTGCATATCGGCTGTCATGTCTTTTGACGTGACAGGGAACAATTACAAGGAAACAATTAAAGAAAAAGAAAATAAAATTAAATGCACAATTAAGACCACTTTTTATTGTGTTAATAGCGCTGCAGGTGATAAATTTCATTATAATTTATTTTAACCGAAGAGCATTTCTTATCTTTGAATTTGAATTTAAATTACTTAAAAATTTAGGAGTTTTGTTTGGAATCGCTTTTAAAATATTAATGCAGCGGGCCCATTCATTGTCTTGTCTTAACCAAATATGTCTGTTTAACTTTTGAAATTTTTGCTAAAATAATTCAATAACTGACAATATTCACAATATTCGTTTTACTCCTTTAAAAGCAAATTGTGTCATAAACAACTATTGTCACGCCCCTACTATATAATAACTCCCCTATACTGTGAACTTAACGAATTTGTCAAGTATTGACAATTAGTCAAGATTTTTATCAACCAAAAAACTTTTTGCTATTCTGGGCAAATCTTGAAAAATTTTAAAGTTCAAGTGCCTAATACTTTTCACCACACTATAGTGAAAACTGTTTTGTATCAAAATCAAAAGCAGTGTATCGATTAGTGATTATATTCATATCATGACTCATTGCTATTATTTTTTTTAAATCGTTATTTGCTATTTTGAATTTTGTCATGCATACAATAACAATAAAAAATGCTTGTAAGGAGTATATATTTTATTTGTCATCTTGACAATTTATGAAGAACTGAACTTTTTGTTTATAGTAAGAATACCAAAACTTTGCCAAATTGTCAACCTTGACATATAAGCAAGATGGTGAATAATTGTCAATACTTGACAAATTTGTCAAGTTCACAGAATAGGTCCGTAAATACCAACATTTTTTATTCTTTACGGTTTTTATTCATGGACCCGTTTAAGCCTATTATTTGAATTAATGTTCAATCTCTGAAATGTTAAATGTTATGAAATATTGGTACGTAGTTAAATAATTTAAAATAAAATCGTTTTAAACATTTTCTTGTCAGTACTCTTCCGCAAAAGACATTGGTATAGAAAAATAAGTACTCATTAGTAACACTTTTTTATTGTCTTTGTGCATTTGTCCGTTTCCGTACACCAAAAGTGAGCTGAAGAGAACACAATCGGAAAAATGTTAAGTAAAGACAAAATGCCGCAGATTGCTTATTTTTACAGGCAATATTTTTACTAGCAAAATTTATCTAAAGTTAAAAAGCAAATAAATGAAGTTGATGAAATATTTTATAAGCACTGAATTTAAAATTGTTTGTTGGTTAAAAACTAAATTAGGATATAAAATATAACAATAATTTGACAGTACCAATTTTAAATTTGTTATGTGACATTTTTTTACCAGATACAATTTAATTATTTAATTTATTTTTCTAGTTTTTACCGATTGCCTTCAATTGAAATTATTTCACGTAACTTCAAAATTTTTATTATTTGGGCTCGTCTACTAATTTGTTCTGGCGAAAATACGAAAATATACCTATTATAAAATGTAATTCTAATTTCATAAGAAAGTATTGTCAACCACCAAATGTATCTATTTTATATCTCATTAATAAACGTATATAGTCCAGCGTTCACATTTAAATAAAAAACGAATGAAATTAACTATGATTTTAACAGCATAAATTAACTAAATTATTCTCATTGCACATGATAGTTAATGTCACAAATATATAATTTGAAATTTTTATTATTTGCATATTAATGCGTAGCTACTATCCTAATAAATTTATGAAGTAAAATTTATACTATTGCAACCCTGTTTCATGACGTCACATCTCTTGTTTACTTCTTGATAAATTATGTACTTGACATTTGATAAGAATTGCTTTTTGTTATTTTTAAGTTTACAAAGTTCAAATTTTTTTAATATTGTAATATGTAATATTAAACATTTATAATGTTTACTAATATAATTAATAAGTCAATTTTAAGTCATTACAAGCAAAATCAAAATTTATGTGCTGGACTACGTAATTTTGCACCCGAATATAGGACAACTTTGGCGCCACACACGTGTAGAAATTTTTGTGCCTTATTTTCTTCGCATGGGAAACCAATTCGTTTAGTTAATAAGAATAATAATAGTAAAAATCAATATTATAAATACTCAAATAGTGCTGGTATGAAGGACTATAAACAATTTTGCTTTAACGATTATGACGTCATTGGCTTCGATTTAGATGCAACTTTGCTGCGCTACAATTTAAGTGAGATGCTTCCGCTCGAGTACGAATGTCTGAGGCATTTTCTAGTGGATGTAAAAAAGTATCCTAAAATATTATTAAAGTGCAAATTAAATTGTGAGTTTCTACAAAAAGGACTAATTTTAGATGGCGAAAGGGGAAATGTCTTAAAACTTGGCCAAGAAACAGAAATACTTAGAGCTACTCATGGTACGAAACTGCTAACCGAAGAAGAAATAATTAATATTTATGGTGAAAAACGGCAATGGAGTGTTGCAACAGAATTTTTTCAAGACATAGTGACTAACTGGAACGGTCCGCTTACCAAACAATTCCGTATGCTGCCTGATTGCTTTGACACACCAGCGGCAATGCTATTTGCTCAAATTATTGATTTCTTAGATGACGAAGCAAAAACAGAAAACAAATGCCCGCCAGATGTATATAATATATGGCCGGATGTCCGAGAATCTCTTATGCATACATTTGCACGTGAAAACTTTTCCAATGGACAAAGCCTATATTTTAATGCACTACGTGCCGAACCTGAACGATATATTTTACATACCAGTGATAAAGTATTGCAATGGTTAAAGACACTAAGAGCATCAGGGAAGGCAGTATTTTTGATTACTGGTTCGAATATAGATTTTGCAAATTTTACTGCATCTTATGCGCTTGGCAATGATTGGCAAAAATTATTTGATTCTGTAGTTTGTTACGCCAGGAAGCCTATTTTTTTTACATCTGAACGACCCTATCTAAAAGTTAAAGACTTGGATGAGGTGGCTGGTAGTGAAATCAGTACAGATGCAGAAATATCTTTAAATACAGTCTACTCCCAAGGCAACTGGTTGCAGCTCAAAGCAGCCTTAGCTAAAAAGCTTTGCAAAAGTCCGGATGAAGTACGGTGCCTTTATATGGGCGACAATTTCGCACAAGATGTATATGCTCCAACAGCAATAAAAAGTTGTAACATAGATACCATTGGTTTATCTGAAGAACTCTTAGTCGAAGATAACTATACTAGTTGGAATTACGAATATAGCAATGTTTTACAATCTGCATTTTGGGGTTCATATTTTTGTACGGATAAACCAACATATTGGTCGAGTATAATCAAGAAATATGCAAAATTATGTGTACCTTTAATCGATACTATCGCTGATTCTGATTTAAATAGAGTATTCTGTTCTTATAATACTGACGGGTATTTTCCTGAACCACCATTAACACTTGAAAAACAAGTAAAATGAACTAAGTACATATAACGAAGTGGTGATATAACAAAAAGTATCAATTAAAAGTTATAAAAACACTTTATTGTTTATGTATGTATAAGTAAATTAGCTCAAGTACAAAGTAAAATTGTAAAATCTCATTTATCAACGTTATGCAATATTTTAACCGCACAAGTTATATTTTTATAGATAAATTTTATATATTCATAGAACTAGTCAGTAAAAAACGTGTCTGAATTTAAAAACACTTCCTTTGTGTTTAAATTGTTTTGATAACAATAAAAATATTTATTTTTGCATCTTAACATAAATATATTATTTGTCGCATATTTATAGTTTTAAGTACATTTATATAAGGCCATGAAATACTTTTGAACTTTAACCGTTTTCCACACAAACAATTTGTTTTCAATACAATAGTTGCTTGCAAATTCATACATATGTTAAATATGTTTAAAATTTTAAACGCGTTCCACTGCAATAGCAATGCCCATTCCGCCTCCGATACAAAGACTCGCAACACCTTTTTTACCGCCTGTACGCTCAAGTGCATATAAAAGCGTTACTAAAATGCGATTGCCCGAGGCGCCGATTGGATGACCTAATGCTATAGCACCACCATGAATATTCACTTTATTTTGGTCAATCTGTAGGCATTTTAAAACTGCCAAACTTTGTGCAGCAAAGGCTTCATTTAACTCATAAAGATCAACTTCATCTTTTGACCAGCCTGCTTTAGCTAACTAGAATAAATACAAACAAAAAACTTTGTAAGTAGAATACGATTTAAATACAAATCTTTATAACTTTCACAACTTACAACAGCATTAACAGCAGTTACTGGACCAATACCCATTACTTTAGGACAAATACCAGTTTGAGCCCAAGCAACAATTTTAGCAAGTGGTTTAATCGATCTTTTTTGCACTTCTTCTGCCGACATTAAAATGACAGCAGAAGCTGAATCATTAATACCGGAGGCATTACGAGGGGTTACGGTTCCATTCTAATAAGTAAAAATATTGAAATATCGGAACAAATGTAAAAAATCAGTTTCAAACTTACATCCAAAAAACAAGTTTTGACTTTTTGAAATGATTCGACAGTACAGCCAGCCTTAACAAACTCATCCTTGTCGAATATTATAGTTCCCTTACGATCTTTAATTTCAACAGGAACAATTTCCTTATTAAAATATCCATTTTTCTGTGCTGCCTCAGCTAAATTTTGAGAACGTACCGCATACACATCCTGTTCTGAACGACTTACATTATATTCAGTAGCTAAATTTTCGGCTGTTATGCCCATATGAATATTATACATGGCATCAGTAAGACCGTCATGTACCATTGAATCAACCATAGTTCCAGGTCCCAATTTTACACCGTCACGTATATGTATTACATGTGGCGCTAATGACATATTTTCTTGTCCACCACAGACCACAATTTTATTGTCACCAGAACGTATAGATTGATAGCCCAAAGTAACGCTCCTAATTAAAAAAACCAATGAAATTAAAATTAGCAAAAATACAATAATTAACAAAACATACTTAAGTCCTGAACCACAAAGCATATTTAGTACAAATGCCGGCACTTCTATTGGCAGTCCAGCTTTGAGAGCAGATTGCCTAGCTGGATTTTGTCCTTGTCCGGCAGTTAAGGCCTAAAAAATACAATTCATATATTTACTTACTCATATGTAAAGAAGACTGCATGACTGCATTACTTACTTGTCCAATTATTACTTCAGTTACATCTTCACCCTTTACCTCGGCACGCTTTAGAGCTTCTTTAATAACAATGCTGCCTAAATCGGAAGCTTTAATTTGGGAAAGTGTACCACCCAAATTACCTTACGTATATGAAGAAGTAGTAAAAAAATACATGTAAGTGGAGAAAGTTATTTAAAATTAAAAAAAAAAACAAGTTTTGATAAGATAGCAAAAATGCCCATCCCTCTTTTTTTGAGTTATCCATGACGTAAAATAGAAGTGTAATTTACCTATTGGAGTGCGCACAGCAGCAACAATATAAACATCATTAGCATTCATACTTAATTTAAAAGAACTTAGTTCTAAGAAATACTGAACCGAAAAACCGCACAACCAAACGCTCAGATGGAGCAGAATCAACTAACCATGCTATAAAATTGAAGCTTTCTAGCTAAACTTTCTTAATTACTTATTCACATTTTCATTACGATCGCACAGCTAAGAACCACGTAAAATATCAGCTGTTCAAAGCATACACCAGCTACGAAATGCATACTTATTTTGTAGAGTTGCCAGGCCTTCTAGAACTAAATAATTACATATCGCTGTGTATGTTATACACATATTAGGGGTATTCACTCTCTCTTGCAAACTCATTGCAAGGTGCACGAAATGCACAGATTGTACGAGAATGCAAATAACAACAACAAAATACACGCACAAAATTTCGTGCAATTGCGTGCAATCTTCCAATGCTGAAACCTATGTATATTTGCTTGCAACAAACCAGAAATGGCGGAAATCAGCTGTTTTGTCATTTGTTGCTTCTCATTTTTAAATTTGAATTGACTGTTAGTAAAATTTCGAGATATGTTAATCTATGGCTATGCTATATACATGCGTTTCGTTCAATAATTTAAATCGATTTGACCATTAATTAAGTTTTCACAAATATAATATTATATACATATACATTTGTGAATTAATTTATCTATTTATCAATTTCAGCGAAACTTACGAAAATTTGTTCACATTTTGAACTATTGAATGAAGTGTTTGGACGCATGTCTAATTTTGTACGGGAACATTGCCATAGGCACCAACTAGTTCTGCGCTAGGCAACGATGTTTTTTTTATTGAATCGTCTGCAGACAACACATCATCCAGCTCTGCACCGAAAGTCGTGCGTTCTGCTGTGCAAAGCCCCACTACCCCCCTCGATAAAAAATATAACAAATAACAATAATAAATTAAGAATTAGTTATATTTTTATTATACTAATTGTTTTTATATTATATTATTATTACATATATCTCCAACAACAAATAATGTAGCGACTTTACGAATAGCCGCATTTTCGCCTGATGAACCCAAACGATATAAAACAATAGCAATCCTTAATAGTTTATTAGTGAGACTATTAAGGAAAATACGTTCCAATTTACTCTAAGCATCTGACAAAAACGGCCTTCATCAAATTCTTAGAGAATGGTAGATCTCCATTGAATAGATTTTGGTACGGGTTGGTGATTTCTGTGATGGTTTACTAAAGTAAGCAAAAGGTCTTCATTTAATTGCTCCATCACTTCCCAGTAATTTGTATCATCTAACAAATAGAAACTATATAGTAGTGAAAACTACATTAACAACATGTTAATACCTTCAATCAGAATATTAAAAGCACTATTTTCAATAAAAAAATCTATACATTTTTGTATTTCACTTGTTCGCGGCATTGTTATACTTTTATTTTTCTTTGCTCAATTTGATACGGCTGCAAAAACAGCTGATTCATTTTGATGATGCAATTCTGCAACAGAGGTGTTCTCGCAGTCTTGCAGTTTTTGTATAGCATTCTTGCATTTCGTGCTCCTTGCAATGAGTTTACAAGAGAGAGTGAATACCCCTATTATGTATATGATTTTATAATATTTTTTATGCATTTAGATATGGTAGAAAAAATTAGTTCTGTACATATATACAATCAAGTTTTTATGTGAATGCTAGTCAGGCATAAGACAGATGCCAATTCATGCCACAAAAACACAAAACATAAATTCAAAAGTAAGAGCACTGGTATAACACGCAGAATAAATGACACTCAAACATAAGGTCTGTTCCACAAGCTACTCGTAGTAAAACTCAAGTAAAACATATGTAAAGTACAAACTGAGAGCGTAACACAAATAAAGGGCCAAATTACGCTCTTCACACAGATTTTCATGAAACAGCTTTGTCCAAAATCAGGTGAGAACACCAGTGCCGCGCAAATAAACAGTACAAAAATGTAAATTCAAACCAAAACAGCTGATTCACACATCAACACAAATTTTACTTGAAATAAACTGTAGAAGTAAAATATCTATAACATTTTCAAATTTCGACATGGATGTTACGCTCTCTCGTGTAGTAGTCTAAGTTACTACAAGTAGCTCATGGAACAGACCTATAATCATTTTAAAAATTAATTTCACAATGAGCAACACAACATGTTACACCTTCACTTCTGACAATTTGAAACATACAAATTAACAAATTGTGAACGAATAAAAAGCAAAAAGTGGGAATTAATTTGTGTACACCGCTAAGAACAAGTATGGTGCCTAAGTATTGTTTTTGTAATTCATTGCACAATTTGGCACGAGTCAATAACAGACACTCAAAAATATTTCCATTAATATTTAATAAATGTATGTGTAGTAAGCCGAAAACGCATTTTGATTTTGATTGTCTCTAGTGTCTTTTAATTGCTAACAAAGTAGATATTTTAATTGTCTTCAGGTATTAGCAAATTAATAATAAAATTAGGAAGCTAAAAAAGTTTAAATCTGAAGAATCCGATATTTTGAATCGATAGTGTTGAGGTACTCAGGAAACAGTTATCATACTAGAAATTCAAAGCCTATCAGTCGCAAGTACGACAATAAATTTTGATATGGAGAGCGTTAAAATTATTTTAATAATATATACTAAGCAATAATAAAGACTATTCGAGTGAAAAATAGTCGACAGGAAAACATATTTATCTTTTCACAATATATACATTTAACAACAAAGATATGCACCGTTTAAACATATTGCTCTTGTAAAATTGCTGTGCCATGGCAACACTGTCTTCAATAAAATTAGTTAGCTGCTAAATATCGAAAGAATTAAATTATTTTTAGTAAATTTTTGATATTATTGTATAAATATAGATTAGTAATCATGCCAAAATTTGATCAGCAAAAGACAAAACAGCAATTATTTCATCTATCAATAAGCTTCGCAATAATACTTATTTGCATGACTTATATGCACTATTTGCATGATTGGTCACAGATCGGCAACTTGTGGAGCTCTTTAATTGTACCAGTAATTTTCATTGGGGAAATATTAAAAGTTATATTAGCACGTTATTATATTAAGTTTGAAGATAGCGTACTAAACCAAAAGCAGAGGCAGAAGAAAACGGCATATTTTTCAATACGAGAACTGTCTGGCGGCTTACTACTACAATTTTTGAGTACTCTTTTGATATCATTTCTTTGCATCATATTAGGCGCTCCAGTTTTGCAAAACTATGAACAAACATTTGTGTTATCGCTTCTAATAACGTTATTGACGGTTTCACCAACGGTCATGCTACTGGGTGCAGGCGGGGCTTTGCAGGTGTGTTTTTGTGAAAAACCGGATTTTGTTACCAAAAGTGAAGAGACAGCATTGCATCTATTTAAATATAATGCAATTGGTGCTATACTAGGTGCATGGGCTGGTTCTGTGGTCGCCCCATTGGATTGGGACCGTGATTGGCAAGTATATCCTGTACCAAACGTTGTAGGTGCATTACTGGGCACTGCTTTGTGTAATATTTACGCATGTTCTCATGTCCTACTCGCCACTGCCAAAGTGTATCTTAACATGAAGAGGTCTTAAATACATTTTAAAAAAATCCAGCTACTGTACGCACTGAACCGATGCTAGTCATTCAATAACCAACCAAATCCTTACCAAATTTCATAAAATATATTTAATTACATAAATGTGAAAAATATGATGTACGTTGGTTTAAAACACAATTTTTTTATAATTCAAGCTTTTGAACATGTTAAATAACTTAAAAATAATAAATTTTATTGTTATTGTAAACATTTATAGTATTTCATTTATTTATGCCTTAACTGTTAAAAGAAAATTTTCGTCTTCTAATAAGCAACGACTGCCAACAAAATTATCGTTCTCTTCCCAGTAATCTTCATCTATTTCAGCAATCTCGATTTCGTTTTCCGGTTTAAATTGATTGTAGAAGTCTATTAAACGTGTGGTGTGTTCCTGTTTCCTGTAAGGTATCTGACTTAAACTTGGGCACGATTCATATTCGTGTAAATAACGCAACGTAACAAAATGTGTTCCATGTGCTATTCTTTGCTGAGAATTGTGTACAATACTTGCTGTCCAGTTAATTGCAACAGTACTGTGGGAATCTTGTCTAGTTGTTAGTGCGTTAAAATCCTCTGTGCTGATATTTGAATTAAAGAACACAGTTTCTTGTTTGACGAGAAAACTATTAGTATCATAAAGAAGTGGTAAGTGATTGCCTTCTTTATAATTTTTAACTGGCATCACATTAATTTCGGAAAATCTACTCTTAAGCAATTCTGAAAAGGATTTATCTTCTTGGCCATTAACACATGATTTTAGTAACCGACACTGAAAACTAGCTGATTTTGATGATTTCAAGCAGTGATCTAAAAAGTTTAAATATTCGATTGAATTCAGTTTTAAGTTGTCATATTTGTTATCGCATACCTCCTAGCTGACCAACGCTAAGTTCCAAATTGTTTGTTACTATAAAACAGTTTAAGATAATATTACTTATTTTTATATCAGAAATACTTAAATAACATTTACCGTAAAATTTCTCTGGATTAAGCATAAAGTTCTCGCAGTACAATGCCAACGAATCGATGTATACCTCTGCCATTACTGGATGATGCATTTCGTTTTCGTTTTTAACATTCACATTCAAACCTAACTCACCACTTACATTATTAGCAACAACACAAGCAATATCTGTACGCAAGCACTCATGAACATTAAATTTCCAGGTATGTCGCACAATTCGGTACTTCATACCCCCGGTTGTTGAAGTGGAAAGTCCGTAGTAGAAAAGTAAACGTAATGTAAATTCTCCTTTTTCAAAAGGAGCTTGTATTCGCATAGGTATAATAGTCGACTCCTGTGCTTTCAAAGCTACTCCGTCAGTTGGTTTTAGCATACGAAAAACATGTTGACGACGAATTTCTTTATCTTTAACTAATTTTTCATTTGAAAGATCTCTTACAGCTGCAACAAAATTTACAAATATAATTATTAAAAAGTATTTATTAATTTTAATTGAATACTTACAGCGTAAAATCGATAACGGAATGTCTTCATTTTTATCCATTAATGTTAACCAGCGTGGATTATCACAACCAACAAATACATCTGTTATTGGTGTTATGCCTAAATTACGCAATGAAATCTGCACAGGTAACACTTCTCCAACAATAATATCTTTCGGTAACGATAAGAAACTGACATGCAGTGATGGTTGTGGTGGTAATATTTTAATGGAAAGCTTGCTGTCATACAAAGTTTGATTTGTTTGTTTTCCAATAGCTTTAATACGTTGAGTTTCGAATTGCAAGGAGCCCATCAGTTTTACGTTCGACTCAGATGTGTTCGCAACTTGACAAACAATCCCGATAATATTTAATTGACCGTGTAATTTCGGTGTTAACTTAAAAAATAGTGTCTTTTCCGCTCGTTCTTCCAATGTAAGCGATTGGCTGCAACTTGTTTTAAGTGCAGCTGTTACGGCAGTTTTATCTTTATTTCAGAATGCAAGAAAATATTATTTAATTTAAAGTAAATATTTTACTTTAACCGCACTTACTTGAACTTTCATTGGGACTCTCATATAGGCACTCATTCGAAAGTTGCTCATCATTATCTAGTTTCAATTTCCACAGCAGATCAATTTCAGTCATGCTTATACTACATTTAACAGCATTCGTCAACGTAACAGCTAGCTCAATTGGCTCTGAAAGGGGATCAATTTATAGAGTTATTTTATAAAACTTTAAAATATATAACAATACCGCCTTGCACAGCCAAAGGTGGCTCGGTAGTAGGACAATCTTTTGTAAATAAGTAACGAGTCGGCTTAAATACTAAAGGCTTATTCAAAAAGGCTGTGTTAAAAGCCATTTCTTCTAATTTATGCCAAATACTTTCATCAGATAGATCCGACTAAAAGAATTATAAAATTAAAAATTATTTATTTATAAGTTTATTTGGATATTAAATATACATATATTTCTCCTATGTATTACTGTACCTTTATGTCAATATTATTTGCAGCTTCGAAATTGGAATTAGTAGCAGGCAAATATGCTGAAGTAAGAACTCTAATAGAATCCTGTAGTACTTGAGGTACGGCATGAGGTAGCAAACCATAATTGGGACTACGTTTAATAAACTCCTACATGAAAGTAGACAAATTATTATATTACTTTTGCACTTTTAACAGTTAAAACAGTTTAAACAAATTTTAATACGCACATTTTGTGTTTGTATGTATTCTTTAAGAAAGTTTGTTTGCTGTAAAGCATTTTGCAAACTGCCAGGACGTAAAAGATGCGCTTGAGAGCGACTAGCCTCTTCAAGCTTTTTCAGTATATATGCTTGCTTCCCCATTGTGTATTGTATGTGATCCTCTGCTAAGCTCCAACCACGATCTTGAAAAACTTGGTAAGCCTGCTTATAACAGCGATATGCATGCTTACGTTGTCCTACACGTGAATAGCGATTCCCCGACAGCACTATATGGAATGCATATTTTCTATACATCATAGGATTTGAGGATAAAAAACAGTACGCTGCTTGTTCAAGAAGTAAAGCTGAACGTAAGTCAGATTCCTCCGTAGTCATTCGAACAAGTTGTTTTGCTGCCTCTCCATATAAGCGTGCAGTTTTTAAGCACTCCATGCTGAGGAGTGTAGCACGTGTAGCAAATTGTTGTAACCTAGCAAAATATTAACAATTATAGCAAATAATATGAACAATGAATATAATAAGAAGTTACTTGCAAACAGTAAGATAACAAACTATTGCATCTTCCATATAATCATATGTTTTCCGATTTGCAGTTCCTAACATAAAGGCTGAAACTGCTGCCATTTCTAAAGCGCCCGCATAATACTGCCATGCTGAGTCAGCATTAAAATCTCGTTTAGCTTGATGATATGCCTAAAAAATGTATTGTCGAATGTTTATAATAAAACTAAAGTTTTAAACAAATTTTTACCTGAAAAGCTAAGCTATAATGACCAAACATAAAGTAAAGATCACCTAACTTTCGTGTTTGTAATTCAGAAGATTCGCTAGTATAACTTTTAAAAACATAATAGAATATAATTTTCAACATTTAATTTATATATTTAACATATTTACATAACAGCATTTTGATTACTAGTACTAGCTCCTGGTTTGCTGGTAACAAACCACCTTTTAGTAGCGCTAAACAATGATTTGCTAACACCTTTCTTATTTGTTATCTAAAAAAACAAAAACGAAAATTATCTTGAAAGCAAAAACGTGTAACATTTTTCATATACCGCTTCGGATAATAAAGCAACTAAATGTTCTATATAAGGTATTAGTGCACGTACAGCATAGTCTTGTATAAAATGACGCAAATTTTCTACATCCATAGAATTAAGACTACAACCACGAGGTGCGTCATTATCCAAATCAGTACCCCAAACGTTTGGGTTAATATTTTGTGAGGCAATACTTTCGCTACTAGTAGAAAATTTTGAGTTCTACAAAAATAAATAAAATTATGAGAACAAAAATGGTTTTGATAAATGCATACATACAATCGCTTCTGTTGCATGTTCCTGTATAGGACTTAGTGGATGGACAATTGACTGCTCAATTTCAGCAGCAGCTTCAGCTAGTGCAGACATTTGCATAGTAGGCATTGATATCGCAGAAACGGAGTCTTGTGGAGTTTTCGACGCACTAAATTGCTCTGACTGTGCATCCTAAAAAATTCAAATATCGAAAAAAATATCAATTAACACTTTTATATACCTATTTAATTTTATAAAAATATTCTGTCATACAATCTTTGGATGACGCTTTAAATAAGTTGCCCAATAATCAGGTACTTCACTTGTTCCCGAGCCATCCAATGAGTTTATTTGTATTAGAAAACATTTGTTATCACCGAAAGTAGATTTCAATAGTTCATAACTTTGTTGTGCTCTAATAAAATCTGTTTAGTTTATATGCTTTTAATTTAATTTTTTACTGACTTAGATAAATCGCCTTTGGCACCGCCTTCATGTAAAACCACATAACTATTAAGTACATCATTTGGATGAAACCACTTTGGAAGTTTTTGTGGTGTAACATTCTGCATTTGTTGCGCACGTTGTGTTAGTTTATGTGCCGTGTCAACAATACTGGGGTCAGCACTCGACAAAACAATTAAGCAACTAAGAAAATGCCGTGTGAATTCGTGGTCAGCTGGAAATTGTACTGTTAGAAAACTCTCCCGCCAATGTTCAAACCAAGGTTCAGATGTTGGTATTTCCACATCCAATGATCCTTAAACATTTCGATATATATAAAAAACATTTGATTATATATATGTAATACCTAGGCTAACAAATTTAGTTTTGTCATTATGTGCATTTGTCACAGCCTCATTCAGCATTTTACGTGCTAAAACTGTTTGAGGTGGCCGCCAGTTGACGTCACATACGTTAAGACGCAATCCACGTATCGAAACACTTGTTCCGGAAACGTCACGAAAATGTGCTTTAATAGATTAATAAATGATATATGTTAAGCACATTAACGCAATAACTTTTAATTTACAATTTACATACCATCGTTGGGCAGTTTAGTAAATGGTTGTAATAATTCAACAAATGATAAATTATTTTTGTAGCAAACATCATCAGCTAAAGAACTTGTAATTACACCAACCAATGGTGAAAATATATTTTGTATCGTTTCACGAGCATTATAATTATGTCCAGTTAAATGTATCATCATACAATTTTTCGCAAATCAATAGATAGTTTTTAATTCAACCAGCTGAGAAAAACAAAACAACAACGAGTGATGCATAATTATTTACTTTCCTTGCAACAATTCAGTAATCGGTTCATGGAATAACCATATTTTATAAATTGTTAAATCAGGATATAGACAATGCTACATGTTTGCAGACAAGGTATGCTGCTACTAAATCTCACCGTCTGTATTTAAGTTTGCATACCAAATTTCGGTCTGAGACATGTATGCGGTAAAATTAAAACTTTTCAATTGTTTGTTAAGTCTGCACACATGTCTGCTTGTGTATATCGATATCTACAGACTTCTCATAATTTAAGAATTTTGGTGAGCGTCGGAAGAGCAAAAATTGCGGAAAAAAATTGTGAAATAATTGAAAAAGTTTTAGACATTTTTTTTTCTCTAAAAGAAGCAAATTTGAAAACAATTATTAAATAAGTTTATATATTTTTAAAATTATTTTGTGCTAAAAACATTTTTTAAGTAAGTTTTTATATTTTAAAAATTATTTTGTGAATAAAATTATTAAAATGCAATACTTTAAAGAATCATATTAAAAATAATTTTAGTTTTAAGAATTAAAATAAGAAATTATGTTTAATTCTAAGATATATGAAATCTTTATATAATGAAATAAATAACATGTTGCTATTATCATCATCGCAATTCCTTCAGTTTCGATTACTATTTCCACTCTGTACTTGCTCCCCTTTTGTTCTGAACGCTGCAGAAAATAAATCAAATTGAAGTCTGCATACCTTGTTTCAAAGTGTATAGCAAAGCGAATACTTGAACTTCATACTTGGTGTGCAGTACATATCTGCATCGTCTATATCATGCTTAAGCTGAATAGAGTATAGTATAGTCGTACAAGAGCATGACCTCGTTGATAACTATTTACCGACATTACTTCAAAATTTTTATAAACTATTTATTATTTTTATTAACTATTTTTTATTGTTGGTCATAATTATTTAACATAAAGTATTAAGACAGTAACTGACTACATGGCTTCATTGTTTATGTAACACATTACATAAAGTATTGACGGCAATTTGTACATAAATTTGTATATAAATTCATAAAATTATATTATGCCAATTTAATTAATATTATTATTAATCATATATATATATATGACAATTTAACTCTTAAGAAAAATTAAATTTGAATAGTTGTAATATTTTCTTTTAGAGTTGTAAAAAAATTGCATTAAGTCTGATTGAAACAAATTGGCTTAACTTTTAAAATAGGTCTATTCTGTACAAGAACAGAGTGTTATATTATGTTTACATTACGAACTTTGCTGGCTGGAATCGACTTTGAGCGCAAAACCAGCAAGCAAAGTCGATTTTGCCATATTAAAGTAGACACAACAAACCTCGAACTTTGACCGAAAGTTGACTTCATTTAATACCTTTTCCTGAATACAGTGCTGAATTTGATGCGTTATCGATAAGTTTTAGTACTAAAATGGCGAAATGACATTTCACACTTTTGTTTGTTTAAATTTGTATTGACGTCTGCTTATAAGAAATATGTAAATAAATTTTTTTTTATGTAAAATATATGAAAATTTTTAGGTTTTTATTATATTTATATACCATACACATATTTTTAATCTAATTCAATTTACAATTCAGTTCAATTTATTTATATGAAAATTATTTGGTTTTTATTATATTTATATAGATGTATATTTAATCTAATTTAATTTACAGGAGTAATAACAAACAGCGCCATTCTCCGTGGATGATGGAAGATGAATGCGACCTATTGGAGTTATATAAATTAAATTATAATAATAATTTAATTTATAAGTATATGTTACAGTGTTTACAAGTACGTATTAAGAAAATGTTTTATATATTAAACTATTATGTCTGTTGCAGTTAATTCATCATTGGTTTTGTTTATCATCTCCAATCGATAGTGGATCAATTACCATCCGCGTTTCATAATCGTCTGAAGAACCACCTGAAGATGCATGTGAAGAAACTGCTAGAAATAAGAAAATAAAATTGTAAATGCTCGAACAAGGAGAAAAAGCTATCCTTTTAGAAAGAGGAAAAATTGATACAATGTTGATACAAAATGTAAATAATATGTAAATATTTTATATATAGTTGTAGTTATAAATGTAAAAAAAAGGTAAAATAAAAAAAATAAAAATTACCAAAATAATCAGCTATTGCTTTTCTTATTTCCTCTGCTTGTGGGTTGTTGTCATTGGAAAGGTCTTTGAAAATTCTTGAGTCGTTGCAACGGCCAGGCACTCTGACGTTTATGTAAATAAATTAATATCTGAAAAAAAACATATATATATAACAATATATAACAATAATATATATCTATAAATATATATATAATTAAATTTTACCTATAATCCACCACCAGCATTGGCGATTCATACGGAAGCTTTCCGTAAGCGTAACGGAAGCTTTCATCAAGGCGTAAGTCATGTTAAGTACTGTTAATAATTAATATAAGATAATATAATGATAAATTAACATTAGTACAGCCCCTATGAGTTTTTTCTTGCAAGTTATTGGTGACAAATTGAAAGTGAGCATACCTAAATTTCCTTTTAAATTTAGGTACAATCAAGTAGAAAAATACAAAATTGGCAATACTGATGTGACACCCGGCATAACATGCATTTTCGGCATAACCCGAAAGAGCGAATTTTGCAGTGCCCAAGACACTCTGCAGAACATACCCTTGGTATGAAAAAAAACTGTGTTAAAAATTTTAATCATACAGTCAAAAATAATTTCAATTAGTTTTTTAAATCTTTGGTAAAAATAAATAAAATGTATCACCACTTTACTGCCATAACGTAAGAATGACCTTGTCATATTTTGAAGTATTAAGTCTGGCATCACATCGATAACAGTGTTGTTTGGCGGGAAATGAGGTTATCCGATTAGTTTTTCGCACCAAAATGAATCCAATTTGGCATCTCTCTTCCGAAGTAGAAGTTTTGTTTGTTTCTGAGTGTTTATAAAATTTATTAATATTATATTCTTAGGAATTGTTAATATCAACAAATAATCCTTGGAAATAACTCTTGAGGTATGTATTTGAAATATCAATAGTACAATAATTATATTAATTTCGATAATTTGTAACTTTATTTATTTTAGCAAATAATTTGTCGCGCCGCTTGTACTCGGAATTTTCTTTTGTCGTTTCTCAGCAGCGCATATTGCGAAATTGTGATGGCAAAAGTACACATAACAAATGTTGTCGTTTTGGACAATCCAAGCAGCTTTTTCAATCCATTTCAGTTCGAATTGACATTTGAATGCATTGAAGAATTGAAGGAGGATTTAGAATGGAAAATGATTTACGTCGGTTCGGCTGAGTCAGAGGAGTACGACCAAGTATTGGACACAATATATGTTGGCCCGGTGCCAGAAGGTCGTCATATATTTGTTTTTCAAGCTGATCCACCTGATGTTACAAAGATACCAGAACAGGACGTTGTTGGTGTTACAATAGTGTTATTAACGTGCTCATATCGCGGCCAAGAGTTTGTTAGAGTAGGATATTTTATAAATAATGATTACGTTGACCCTGAACTAAAAGAAAATCCACCAACAAAACCATTATTTGATAAACTGACTCGCAATATACTTGCTACGAAGCCACGTGTTACGCGTTTTAAAATAAACTGGGACGATGCAACAAACGGTTTGGCTAATGGTAACGGACATACTAATACACATTGTATGGACGATGATGAAATGTATTGCGGAGACGGACCATCAACTTCTGCTGCTGCCGTTGGAATAACAAATATAGGAGAACATGCAAATTCTAATACACCGGATGGAACAATGGATGATAACAGTTTGGCAATGCCAATAGAAAATGGTGTGACTGCTTTAAACGACAACTCTAATTCGTTGGCAATGGAGTGCTAGTATGTCGTTTAATAATATGCCAATTTTAATAATAAGTTCTCAACTGAATATAAATGAAATTGAAAATTGTTTAAGTTCATACTAATGTTTATTTAAGTTTAATACTATTTACAAAGACTAAAATTATACAAATGAAAAATAATTAATAAAAATATTGGTTAGCCATACTATGCTGCCGCGAAATAAATTTATTTCATAATTTTATAAATAAACTTGAATTGTTTAAATATATTCACGTAGTGGTTTCTTTTACTGTATGAGTTATTTTGATCAAAGTGTAATTTTATGATTGGTGTGAGGCATCATGGTTACAAAGAGTTCATATACGGATGAACAATTCTTTTTTGGTGTCAAATAAAATTTACATTTTAATCTCAGCAGTTTATGTGTGTTTTTAAAATTGAATATAGAAATATTAATTTTCTTATAGCAATTGACATGGAAATAAATGTCAGATTGTCATTTCATATCTTAGTTATAAAAGTAAAAAAAAAATTTTACTTATAAAAATTTAAAGTCGATGGGTAAATACAAGTTTTGAAAAAAGCATATATTTTGCAAATAAAAATATAATAAAAAAAAAATAAGTAAAACAATAAAGAAAACTAACAAAATTCTAAAATATAAATTAAAAAAAAATGAATTCGGACAATCAATGCGGGGGAAATACATGTGTAACACCAGGGTGTCCAGGCTGTCCAGCCTGTACAACACCGAGAACATGCGATGAGTAAGTTGATAAATTGTGTCCTTTTTAGTAATATTCAAGTTATTTTGTTATATATTTAAGTATACGGCTCGAACCAAAAAATTTACCAGTTCCCATATGTGCACCGAAAAACTGTCATATATTTGGAATACATGACGAATATAAACCAGACAATAAATGCATTCCTGCAAGTAAGTATATTTCTACATCACATCTTAACCACCGTGTACTTTTATGTCTTTGATGTATCGTATATTCTATATATTATATATATATATACAAAAATGACATATGAAAATTATATACTGCGTATTCTCTTATTTCGCTTGTTCTGTCAATTGTAGAAAAGCGAAGAATTGACAACTCATTGGGGTCCCCTATTGGTCTAGTAAAATCATCAATTCTTCTCAAAACTACAGATGACAAAAAAATGCAAGCACAGCGTTTTGCAGTTTATTTAAAAGCTTTTGCGAAAACATATATAATGCCTGAAAGCGATTGGAATACTCCGGCAATTGACGCTACTTTAAAAGAAGGACAAATATTATATACGGAATCAATAAAGGGTGGAGTCGAGCATAATGAAGCCGAGTCATCTTCAATCTATTCTGAAACAGAATTAAAAGTAAGTCGGGCGTTCAACGTAGGTGATTTTGTTTTCAATATCGAGTTAACTGAACCAGACAATAAATTCACAGTAAACAAAATTGAAGAAGGGGAGAATCCAGAAAACGATTTAAATATATCAGAATTTCGGTCCATTTTAAAGTCATTTTTTCATAAATGTAAATATGGTTTGCTTAAATTTCGTTCTTGGTATTTGTTAGTTTGGAAATCGAGAGGAGTGTATTTTATATTTGATTTCAATGGAAGGAATGCCGTTAACTTTGTCTCAAATCGTGATAACGGTTTTGCAATGTTGCTATGTTTAAAAAGTATTGATAATATCTCCCACTTAGTAACGAATTTAAGCAATTTGGCAGAAAATTCAACATTTACTTTACGCGAGGTAAAAGTTGTAAAACTGGTCAGTCCAGATGGCAGAGTTATGACAATGGATATTGGCGTTCGCCCAAATCAATATGAAGTCATAAGTTCTGATTATGCTTTTTTAAAGTCTGCTCTCCATTTGTCCCTCAACCGGAATGCGCCATTAAGAAATCGAAGTTCCTTTCCAACGGGAATAGCAGTATTGCTGGCAGGAAAAATAGATCATCCCGGTACATGGAAGGAAAAAATTCTAGATAAACTTATATGCTATGGTGTGAATTTGTTCAGATATTGTTGGCCACAACCTTTAAACACAACGGATGAAATAAGATTTGATCAACTTCCTCAAGAAATTAAAATCGGACAATTTGCACTGAAATTCTCTTTAACTCCTAAACTGTGGGAAGGTACATGGAAATGTGTACCAAGATATGAAAAGAGTGAACTTAAGACGGCTATAGAGACAAGTTTTAAAAATTCGCATAACAATTTGTTACTGCAAATTAATCAACAGATGTATGCTATAATGAAAAAAAATAATTATATCTATTTCTTTGATCCATACCGTCACAGAGTAATTGGCAGTGAAACGCCAAGTGAAAAATATGCTACTTTACGAATGTTTAGGTATATGGATACATTCTTAAGTGTTTTAACGCAAATATTGCTTGAATCAAACCGAACATCCAGGTTTTTTATACATAAACTAGAAGTATCACGCATACAGCAAGTTGTATTTACTGAAGGAGTACCGGCAGTGCATCCAGTTGAATGCAGCACTGGTGATACTATTTCTTTGAACGAAAATATTTGCTTCGATGATGATGAAACTGAATGCTTACCAGAACTTGCAGAGATTAGTGACTATGAAGATGAATCACTTCTATCTGATACCGAAGAGCCTAAGAGTGAGACAGATGAATCAGAAGAAGAACCACCAATGGGTGAAGAAGAAGGCGGACTGGATGAATTTGGTGGATTTGACACTAGCGATGGTGGTGGCGGTGGTCTTCGTTCACGTAGAGGAAAAAGAAGAGGTGGTAGGATGAGAAAAGGCGGTAGAAGCAGAAGCAGAAGAACCAGAAGCAGAGGTAGAAAAAAGAGGAGAGGCAGAAGTAAATCAAGAAAACGAAGAGGTAAAAAGAGTCGTTCTCGTTCTCGTAAAAGAAAAGGTAAGAAGCGAAGAGGTAAGAAACGAAAAGGTAAGAAACGAAAAGGTAAGAAACGAAAAGGTAAAAGCAAAAAGAAAGGAAAAAAGAAGAAGGGTAAAAAGGGCAAGAAGAAAAAAGGCAAAAAAAAAGGTAAGAAGAAGAAGGACAAGAAAAAAGGCAAGAAAAAAGGCAAGAAGAAAGATAAGAAGAAAGGTAAGAAAAAAGGTAAGAAAGATAAGAAGAAAAAGAAGAAGTCCGATAAAGACAAGAAAAAAAAGAAGCAAAAGAAAGAGAAGAAGCCAAAGAAAGATAAAAAGTCAAAGAAGCCGAAGAAAGAGAAAAAGGAAAAGAAGAAAAAAGAGAAAAAGGAGAAAAAGAAAAAGGAGAAAAAGGAGAAAAAACAAAAACCTGAGAAAGATAAGAAAAAGAAGCCGGGAGACGAAAAGGACGATAAGAAAGATAAGAAAGATAAAAAAAGGAAAGGTGATAAGTCATCAGATGACGATAAGTCCAAGGGTGATGATCAATTTGCAAAACTTGGAGGTGAAGGAGATAAGAAAAGTGGATTTGGTGGCGACTATAGAGGAGACGGAGAATATGATCCACGTGAATATGGAGATATTACTTATAATCCTAACGCATATCCAGGATTTAGCAAAACTCCAAAACAAATGGCAGTTGTTGGTTCGGAAAATGGTTCATATGAAAGTATCTGTAAACTTCTGCGTGCTGGTTTTAAATGTGCAGACCGTGTTTTAACAATGACTCCATGGGGAAATTATGTTGTATTTCGAGGCTATAAAATGTTTGATAAGATCTACTTTCTATTTGACGGCTGCACATGCAATGTTAATCGTTTCCGACATTTAAATCTTGCTTGTGGTACTGCAGGTTTGCTAAATTTCAACAATCTCCATACCGTCGTTTGCTATATAATCGACGCAAGAAAAGTTCCAGATTGCCTTAAGAGAGGCCGAAAAGATATTGTGCAAGAAATTTGCAATGAATTTTGTTGTAAATAAATGGTTTAGAATAATAACTACCTAAAACGGAATTTCAGATTGGTGTTATAATCTGTATTTTCCCACGCTTATATATGGAATAAGATATCCATATTTAAAAGTAAAATCTTTTTATATATAATTGTAATATATTTGAGAAATATTTTTTTTGTTATAAATCCCAATAATGTAGATAACTATTAAAAATTTTTTGTTTTAAATATTTTTGTTAGTTTAGAATATATTATTTTGAAGAAAGTTATGATTTAAAAAACGCTAAACTTAACTAAAAATTAATAAATATATTTTTTCGACAAGTTTAAAGAAGCATTTTTATTTTGCTAATATAAATATCTGCCAATCAATATCCTCTATGAAGAATACGTACATATAATGTATAGACTTCTACAGTAAATGGATATATAACAGTTATTTATTATCACTATCTATTTAATACCATATTAGGCATAATATTGACCATTATTAATAGACAGAATAATTCAACAGTCCAATCGCTAAAGGAAATTTATTCTTTTAATATTATTTTATACAAGTCTTGTGATAACTTTATACACTCTGTTCATATTTAAGTCTAAGTATGATTATCTCCTTTTGGGCAGACTACCACTGATATCCACACATTTTTTACACTTGTTTTTTCAATTTATATAATATTATTTTTTTATGTAGTGAAGACCCATTCAGATTTAATGGGTGTAGCTACTAAAACTTATTTTTAATCAATTGTCAATTTAGAGCTTTTTTTGCATAATGTGTAAAATCGAGAAAAAGCAATGATTAAGTTGGGTTGGACGGATATTAGAGTACCGCTTAAGATTTATGAGAACGTAGTAGGAACCGAAAGAAGAAGAGGGCGACCAAGAAAATTATGGAAAGACACTGTGCTGCGGAACTTGGAAGAAATTAACATAAGAAATTGGAAAACAGAAGCAAAAAACAGAAGCATGGAAGCTTGTTTTAACAATAGGTTTACGTCCTACATGGATCGCATAGTCACGGATGATGATGATGATATAGTCAGTATATTTAAACGTATTGGTTTATGACATGATTTGTTCCTTGTAATATCTAACCCAACTCTTCACTTCTTGGAACAATTCATACAATTGGAACAATACACCTATAACATTCGAAAAGCAATTACTAATAAATACATAACTTTTTTATTATTTGTTTTAATTATTTATTTTTATAATCATATATATGTATATATATATATATATATTATATATATAATTTTCATATATGCTTACAGATTATTATTAATGTAAACTTAATAATATGCAGAAAGTAAAGTTAATTAAAAAATAAGCATTTTTCTAGATGGTAATACATATATATCTATCATGTACAATAGCTTGAATTCTAGCACATATGTATAAATATTTATATTTTGTTTGCTTTGTGGGATAGGTAGTACTTGGTATTAGCATTAAGGCACTGAAGCATAATTTGTGCAAAATTTAAACAAACAAATTCAGTTAAACTGTACTATGAATAATTTTGTCTGTCTCTACTATATATTGAGTAAGTTTAACTATACAGAGAATAAAAATGCTACGTAAATATATTTATAATTTAAGCAAATAATAAACAACTTGACTGAGTTTCTTAGCCAAACAATTTTAAACAATATTACATTTTTAATAACACATACATTTTACATACATTAAATACAATTAAATAACATTTAATTAATACTAAACTTACATAAACGTTCATATATCTACGGAGTATAAGAGTTTCTTCCTAATAATATTGTATTTAAGTAGTATATACTTTCTCATAATAGTATATATATATGATGTTCATTACATGTATGAGTTATAACTTAATAATAGACAATTTTTAAAATCAGAATTATTTAAATAAATTACTAAAATATCAAAACTAATGGCTGTACTTATGTGCAATCAATACGCTGACAAAAACTATTATATAAAAAATGATTTAATATATATTCATTAAATATTGATAATAATTAACAGAATTGAATTCGATATCGAATACAATCGATACGCTGACAAAAAACTATATAACAGACTTTTTTATTAAACTAAATTAATTTTTTTTTATAAATAAAAAATATTTTCCTTTCTGTAGACAATTTTGAAATAATATAGTGTATGTTTTCTTTTTGTATTTTAAAATTCTTACAAATGCAAATAATATGTATGTGTATGTGTAAGCAAAGATTTTGAGTACTAGTTAAAGATAAGCTCCACAGAAAGCTTAGTCTTTTATTATATATTTAATTTTAAACTTTTAAATTTCTTTCATCTATTATCTTTGCTATATCAAACTTACTTTGTTATATAATTACAGTTCTAAATCAAATAATTCACAATACAGTAATTCCACTATAACGCGGTACCCTTATAAAGCGTTTTTATATTACACGATTTCAATCCCACGTATAACCGGGGCATTTCTGCATATAACGCGGGGATTTATACAGCTCCACGTACCTTTGCACGTGTGTATAGGAGGGATAATATAGGGGGGATTACTGTACTTATTTCTTTTAATGTAAATCTGTGATTTTAATTTGTTTTAAACATAAATTGATTGTGAAAAAACGACTGACTTCCTCAAAAAAAAAAAAAAATTCGAAATCCGTTTACAAGCAAATTAGGCTTACAACTATTACTAATCATGACTAAAAAATGTAATTTAATGAACTTTCTTATTGGTTAATAACAGGAATAATATTATATAAACACATCACCACATATTTTGAAAGCAATATAAATATAACAATAATTTTCTCTTTAATTCTACTTAAATAATAGTTTGACCAAAATAATAGATTGTTTTTGACATTTTTAAAAATAAATTATTAAAGATTGCAGCTTCCTAAATTTTTAACTATTCATATTTTAGAAATA